CCACCGCCCCCCTCCACCTCGCCCTCGCCACCGCCCGCGCCGCCACCACCATCGCCTCCACCACCCGCGTCCCCGCCCCCCTCCACCTCGCCCTCGCCGCCGCCCGCGCCACCGCCACCGTCGCCTCCACCACCCGTGCCACCGCCCCCCTCCACCTCGCCCTCGCCACCGCCCGCGCCGCCACCACCATCGCCTCCACCACCCGCGTCCCCGCCCCCCTCCACCTCGCCCTCGCCGCCGCCCGCGCCACCGCCACCTTCGCCGCCACCACCCGCGTCCCCGCCCCCCTCCACCTCGCCCTCGCCGCCGCCCGCGCCACCGCCACCGTCGCCTCCACCACCCGTGCCGCCGCCCCCCTCCATCTCGCCCTTGCCGCCGCCCGCGCCACCGGTGGCGGCGCCCGAGTTCCTCTTTCGCGACGACTTTGACGGCGCGGGGCTCGCAACACTCGACCGCAGCTCGTGGAACGTCGAGGTCAACTGCAACGGCGGCGGCAACAACGAGCTTCAATGCTACGTCGACTCCCAGGACAACATCGACGTGCGCGATGGCATGCTCCACATCACTGCTCGCAAGGAGAGCGACGGCCGCGTCACCTCGGGGCGGCTCACGACGGAGGGCAAGGTCGAGATCGCCTACGGCCGCTGGGAGGCGCGCCTCAAGGTGCCCGGTGTGCTCGGCACATGGCCAGCCTTTTGGACGCTCGGCAACGACATCGGGGAGATCAGCTGGCCGGCGTGCGGCGAGTTCGACATCATGACTTCCAGCGCGCGCCGCCCGACCACTCCGGCGAGAGCCTCTACTCGACGGCAAAGCACTCCTGGGGCACGGGGACTGCGCTACCGGGCGGCAGCTCCGAGCCGCTCGACCTCGACCAGTTCCACACCGTGCGGATGGACTGGTCGCCGGACAAGCTCGAGTTCTTCGTCAACGGAGAGCGCACCTGGTTCCTCGACCGCAGCCCCGGCTCGACCAACTACGACTGGCCCTACGCCAAGCCCCACTTTGCGCTCCTCAACCTCGCCATCGGGGGGGACGGCGTCGGGGGTACGCCACGCCGCCCGACGACGCCTACCCGCTCACCTACTCGATCGACTATGTCTCGATCGAGGCGCTGCCGCCGCCGCCGCCCTCCCCTTCGTCTTGTGCTTCGTCTTGCGCCTTCGTCTTGTACATGCTCCTTAACGTCGTCGTCTTCACCACCGACCCGGCAACGCCGCTCAAGGACACATACCCCACGATCGAGCAGAACGCGATGGCTCTCTTCGTCGGCGAGCGGTTCATCGAGGTGATCGCGCTGCACTGCCTCATCAACGCACTCCTCGCGGGGATCCCGGGGAAGCAGCTCGCGCTCGCGCTCTCGATGACGCTCATCCTTCCGCTGATGGGGTACCACGCCTTCGTCCACTCCGTCGGCCCGCCGGGGCCGATGCTGCTGATCAACCTCGCGATCTCCGCGCTTACGTGGATTGAGTACGGCTGGGCCGACCTGACGAAGAAGGCGGAGGCCGAGATGAAGACGCCGATGTACATCCACGGCGTGATCGTCTCCACCTCCTTCGTGCCGTACTACATCGCCGAGGCGATGGGCATGCCCTTCCCGCTCGTCGGCCTCAAGGAGCTCGACCCGACGACGCCGGACCCGTCGCCGATGACGCAGTTCACCTACTTCTTCGTCGCGCTTTTCATGGCGATGTACTCCTACACCGAGATCAAGGGCACGATGGAGGGAAAGGTATTTGCCGTGTACCACTACGCGCTCTCGTGCATCATCGCGATGTGGCAGTTCTACCCGACGACGACCCTCCTCGGCCGCCTCTTCTTCTCACTCCCGCACGCCTTCACACTTTGGTCGACGTTCATCG